TTGCATCCTGCCTTTATTATTTTTACAAATTAGTCGAGCATTATTCATCTAAGAACAAGATCTAAGAACGAGCATTAGTCATCGAAGATCTAAGAATAAGAACAATTTTTAGTTCTGGAATAAACAAAAGGAGGAATTTGGCCCATTTGATGACATTTCTTGCCACAGTTGTTAAGTGAATCACTGCAGTTGATAAGATAATGACATGGTTGTTAAATGAATCTGGCTTCCCCATTGATTTTACTTGACCTTGGGACACAGTAGTGGTGATAAGTATGAACCAATTGACAAGTATCTGAATTTTGATCAATGATCGTCGGGATGCTACAAATATCACAAGTGTGAAAAATGGTCATAAGTCACTTTTTAACTTTGAACGGTCACTAAATAAACTGTTATAAGTTGAGGACAACCTGTAATTGCCAGTATATAGTATAGTAATTCTAACCCTTGGAACACCCAATAGTTTAACCCTGTGAACTCATATTTACTGATCAACCCTACCCATAATTCATGGCTGTGAAAATGTGGGGGCATCAGAGTAATTTCAAACAGTATATCATTTTAACTGCCCATAAGGTAGCAACATAAAATGTTGGCCTATGCTGAAAAATAATTTAGATTAACAGCAGCTTTAGGAGAATATAGTGGGATGAAAGTACATTGATCTAACAGTGCAATATTTAGATATTTCTAAATTTTCAGCAAATTATTCTGTGAAAGTTAGCTCAGTAATGGATTATATACACTGTGTAAAGTTAATTCTGGACAACATTACATATATATATTATATACACAGTATATTAAATTATTGCAGTATCCAAAATTGTAATTATATACCAATAATGAAATAAATGTTGTTCAAATGCTTCTTGGAAATTATCACAGTAATAATAGAAAATATTCCCTATGTGCTCCCTAATTTTTCTTTGAAGGGCTTCTTAAAATACTTTCTGATTAATTTAAGTTTTTGCATAATTATCTTTTAGTGAATTCACAATATCGCCACATGGATATATACATTTAGCTTTAACTAGCTATGTCAAAAAAGCAAATTAAGGAAATAGCAGATCTGCAAATACTGATATATAATAATTAACAATATATAGAATATGTAATATATTATCATTCCTGGCTAATAAAAAAGAAATCTAAGAATTTTTTCTGGAACAAAAAAAATAACACATTTCTTAGAAATGTGTTTGCCTCTTAAATAAGATATAAATTTGTTCGTGTTGTATCACAAACTTTATTTATGAAGCAGAAGCCCTTAGGAAATCATATCTCCTATATTTTCATCCCAGTCCATGGATATTCCCTCTCTCAATTAAAGTGCTGAAAATTACACTGAATCTAGGAGTGAAAGGTCAACATTTCTAACCCTATTTGTATCATCTCTGACAATAATCAACCTAAATTTATTTTTCATTCTTAGGTGACCTACATGTTAGGACACTTTATGTCCTGATATGTCTTATCCTCACCTTTAGATCAGGTAAAACCAGTAAATATGTGCAGGATGATTAAGGATGATATTATTTCACGGACCCAGTAAGAAATATTCTGTGTGTGTGGGTATCTATTTTTTATTTATGCTATTATAGAGAAAGAAATAATATGTGGGTGAAAGGATCGTTTAAAGCTATACATTGTGAGATGTTAATCTCAGTTGAATTAGAAGTTTCTTTCTAAAAATTGGAAGACAGTACAATTCTATTGTGTAGAAATGGAGCAACTAGTGTGTCACTTTAGACAACCGAGAAGCAGAATCATCTGCTGCAGATATATGGCACACAGATCTTATGGACTTTCTCAGCATGGATACTCCTTGAATTTCCTGTCTGTACAGTCCCAAGAGGATCATCTATTCAGTCATGAGTTGACTGAAATAATATAAATTGGAATCTTTTGTAATGAAAAAAGTAAATGTTGATAAAATTTAATGGCATTGGGGAAAGTCATGAGAGAAGCCAAAACGAGTTACACGGAAGAAATGATATGAGCCTCAAGCTGAGTATTATACAATACACCAAGGAATCCACAGCCAGTTTGTAACAAACTCCAAAGGGATCCTTGTCTTGGCTTCTTATAACTTTAATCTTAAAATATTCCTATTCCTTCTTATCTAGTTCTAAATTGTAATGCATTACTAATTTTCATTCAGTTAGCATTATGTGAACATTGCTTTGATTATAATACAGCACATATGTACAGTATTATATAAAACATACATGTTCTGACCTACTTTTTTGCAATGTAACAGGAACAAAAAAAGATACAACTTTGGAAAAGTACAGAAAAACTCACTGCCTCATTGAAAAGTGGCAGGTCTATTTTTTTTTTCAACTAATCGTTGCTTTTAAAGAGCTGTTGCCTCTTTGATTTGGAGAAATATCAAATAACATAGCATGAATTACTTGGTTGATTTTTTAAAAAACAATATCTGGCTTAAGTATTTGTTGAGTATCTATTTATTCACCAATATCCCCTTTTAGACGTATGATCAATTTATTTTTACAGCATTATAGTCTCTTTGAAACAAGTGCAGCCTTTTAATGTTTTCAGATAAACAATTAAAGTATAGAAATTTGAGGGAAAGCTCTGAACTGATGGAAAGTGCAAGCTACACACTTCATAAGGAGCTCCAGGATCTTGCAATATCAATGTTCAACATGGGGATAGCTAAGGCTTTGGTCCTATTTACAGTATATTTGAACTAGAGTGAAATTCACTGTACCACATCCATACCAAAGTTGAATGACTTGTCCTAAATCTTATGTAAACTTCCCCTCCTCCGCTGCCGCTTCTGCTGCTTTTGCTTCTCCTCCCCTCCCCATGTAATGAATGAAATGGGTATCAGAATTATATTATTATATTAAGTAAGAACATAAGTAGGTAAGGAATTTAAATAGAGCTGTACTGGATCAGACAGTTAATTTTCAGTTTGGTATCTCTGCAAAACTTATATATAAGTATAAATGTACAAAATGCTTCTGAGCATAACATCTCCATTTAACTCTCCAGGCTAGTAGGTATCAATTGAGTTGCCTTCCTTGAATGTATTTCTACTACATATTTTACTGAACAGGTAGTACTTGACTTACAACCACAAAGGAGCCCAACATTTCTGTTGCTAAACGAAGTTGTTAAGTGAGTTGTGCCCTGTTTTATGATCTTTTTTGCCACCATTTTTAAGGAAATCATGCAGTTGTTAATGAATATGGCTTCCCCTATTGACTTTGCTTGTCAGAAAACAGCCAGAATGGTTACAACTGGTGATCACATGACACTGCAACTGTCATAAATACAGACTGGTTGCCAAGTACCCAAATTTTGATTATGTGACCATGGGGATGCTGCAATGATCATAAATATGAAAACTGGTCATAAATCACTTTTTTCAATGCCGTTGTAACTTTGTATGGTCACTAAACAAATGGTTGTAAGCAGTAGAGGGATTCAAATATGTGAACAACCGTTCTCTGTGTGGATGCCATTTCCGGAAGTCCATTCTAGCCCTGAGCAACAAAAAATTAGCTAGCGGTTTTGCCAAACTGGTGCGAACTGGCTGAATCCCACCACTAGTTGTAAGTCAAGGCTTACCTATAATGAATTTCATAATTATGTGTTGTTGGCTTGAAGAAATGAAACTCTCTCTACTGCTGATGTATATATTATCATATAATACTATTCCACTGACTTGTTTTGTATGGTTTATTAGAGAGTAGCAGTTATGGATCTTTCTGCACTTTGGAAGTGGGGGGGCCTACTTAGAGATCAAAGCAACAAACAAGAAGGTTGAGCTAGACAGGCATACTTGTGGAAATCACCAACTTATTGACTGCTCCATGCTCAGGAAAAGGGTTTGCCAGCAAATTATAAAAGTTGGCAATATGGCTGGCATGCACTTTAACTAGAAAAACCGCCAAGGAAACCATAGATTTATTATCTAAATAGCCTTCTGCTTTCACACATACATGCTGTTATAGAGGATGGTCTGATGTTACAATGCAGAATTTTTAAGTTCTACCTTGAGGCAAATCTCATACTTACTAGCAAAAATGAAAGTGTGAAATGCTTTTTAATGTATATTTAACAACAGATAGTCTGGTGATTACTGATGTGTATTCTCCCTGGATTTTGCCTTTGCTATCAAAAGGTAATATTAAAACACATTTTTACACATTTATGGTATCTGCAATGATCAGATGTTTACTTTTAAAAATGCTTGCTTTTATTTATTAAAAATGGTGAAAAGTCATCCTATTTTCACTCTAACCAAATTTAGTTTACATGGTAACAGCCAATTCCCTGAATCAAAACAGTAAAAATTTTCCATTAAAAAAAAATTGGTTACCATAAAATTAAATTTTAAATCTTCCTTGAGAAGAGGAAAAAATATACTAAAGTTTTCCTTAATATTTTATGTTGTCTTTTTAAATCTCCATCTCAATTATAATGTCTAGCTAGCTATTATGTTTATTAATTTGCTTAAAAAAATAAACCTTCCGAATTGCATACCGGAGGCATAAATTGCGTGCACTAAATGTATATTTCAAATATTTTCTGTAGTGACACTGTTTAACAAGGATTGAACATACAATCTGGGGCATTTTGGTGAAACGCATAGGGAGAGATCACCTCCTCAGGTTAATGAATGTTAATTGTATGGTATATAAGTATTTATTGTTCAAATAAAAAAGATCTCTTTAGTTTAGTTCACAAAACACATTATTGACAGTAGTTCACAAAAGTCCAGCAGTTTACACTAATGTTTGTTCCGACATGATTAAACCACTGTTTTTCTTTTTTACTGCAATCATTATGTTTGCTTGGTAGCAAAGTTTTCTTTCAACAAAGTGTTTGCATGTAGTATTCAGAGCTTAGTGTTTGATGAGCAGTCAGAACAGCACTTTCAATCGAAATCGATAATTATGCAGAATCAATAAGGTTTTCTTCTTTTGTGTTTGTCTTTGTTGTTTCTTTGATATGGCCTCTAGGATGCTGCAGGCAAAGTGCTGGACCGTTGGGCCATCATGTCCAGGGAAGAAGAGATTATTACCCTTCAGCAGTTTTTGAGGTTTGGAGAAACCAAATCCATTGTGGAGCTGATGGCAATTCAAGAAAAAGAAGGGCAGGCCGTTGCTGTTCCATCTTCAAAGACAGACTCAGACATAAGGACTTTTATTGAAAGCAATAATCGAACCAGGAGCCCAAGTCTCCTTGCTCACTTGGAGAACAGCAACCCTTCCAGCATTCATCATTTTGAAAACATCCCAAACAGCCTAGCATTCCTGCTACCATTTCAATACATAAATCCAGTCTCTGCCCCTCTATTGGGCTTGCCGCCGAATGGGCTCCTGCTGGAACAGCCAGCGCTGAGACTGCGTGAGCCAAGCCTTTCAGCTCAAAATGAATTTAATGAAAGCAGTGAATCTGAAGTTTCCCCAGCCCCTTTCAACAGCGAGCAGAACTCCAGCAGGAATGCCTTGTCCAGCATCACCAATGTAGAGCCCAAAAGCGAGCCAACTTCAGTTTCCCCTGTCCAGACTTCGACCCCTGTCAATGACTTATCCAAACCCGAACACACAAAAAGCTCTTTCAGAATTCACAGAATGCGAAGGATGGGATCAGCCTCACGGAAAGGAAGAGTCTTTTGCAATGCGTGTGGGAAAACCTTTTATGACAAGGGGACCCTGAAGATCCACTACAATGCAGTCCACCTTAAGATCAAACATCGCTGTACGATTGAAGGTTGCAACATGGTCTTCAGCTCGCTTAGAAGTCGCAACCGCCACAGCGCTAACCCCAATCCCCGACTTCATATGCCCATGTTAAGAAACAATCGAGACAAGGATCTCATCCGTGCTACATCTGGTGCTGCTACTCCGGTTATAGCAAGTACAAAGTCAAATCTAACACTAACGAGTCCAGGACGACCTCCAATGGGTTTTACCACTCCCCCATTAGATCCTGTGTTACAAAATCCACTTCCTAGCCACCTCGTATTTCCAGCTTTAAAAACTGTGCAGCCAGTTCCTCCTTTTTACAGAAGTTTACTTACGCCTGGGGAGATGGTGAGTCCTCCAACATCACTACCAACTAGTCCATTGATGCCATTAACGGGCACAATAGAACAATCATCTCTCCCTTCAGAATCAACACTACCCATCGGCATCATGCCCAGCCAAGAAGCAAGTGCTGACCTTGCCCCTAAGAAAAAGCCACGAAAGTCAAGCATGCCGGTAAAAATAGAGAAGGAAATCATTGACACAGCTGATGAGTTTGATTATGAAGATGAGGAAGTTAACGATAACAGAAGTATAACTAATGATGGTGGTCATGACAATCATTGCCATTCTCAGGAGGAGATGAGCCCGGGGTTATCTGTGAAGGACTTCTCAAAAAATGGGCAAAGCAGGTGCATTTCAAGGACAGAGCTAAGAAGGACAGACAGTATGACATCAGAAGAGCATGAGAGGGACTATGAAAATGAGTCTGAATCCTCAGAGCCAAAACTGTGTGAGGAATCCATGGAAGGGGATGAACACATGATCCATGAAAGAAGTAGCAAGTCTATGATGAACCATGAAAGACCAGATGAAAACCACAATGATCTTTCCCATCCCAGTGAAATTAAAGTCAAGGAAGAGTTTACAGACCCTACATATGAGATGTTTTACATGAGCCAATACGGACTTTATAATGGAGGCAGTGCCAGCATGGCTGCTCTCCATGAAAGCTTCTCTTCATCGTTCAGTTATAACAGCCCTCAGAAATTCTCTCCAGAAGGCGATTTGTGCTCGAGTCCAGATCCTAAGATCTGCTATGTGTGCAAGAAGAGTTTCAAGAGTTCCTACAGCGTGAAACTCCATTATAGGAATGTTCACTTAAAAGAGATGCATGTCTGCACAGTGGCTGGTTGCAATGCTGCCTTCCCCTCCCGAAGAAGCAGAGACAGGTCAGTAAATATTGAATTTATTAACTGATTTTCTGGGTGGTTTTTGTTCGTAAGCCATCTAAGAAAATCAAACTTTGGCTTTATACTGAATATATTTAAATAATATGGATGGCATATTCCTTTAACATGAGACTGGATAAGCAACCTGGTAGTCTCTAGATATTTTGATTGCAACTCTCGTAATTCCCAATCCGTATATGAGTGGACAGTGATAGTGGGAGTCGTCACATAAAAATAACTAAAGGAAACCATGTTGCCTTTCCTCGAACCAAGAAATCTTTCATTAGTTTTGTTTTTCTTGATCTCTAGATCTGTATGCAAACACTGAGCCATCACGTTATATAATGAAATAGAAATATAATAGGACTGTAGGTTCTTCACTGCTTTTCTGTGTATCTTAATTAACTGTTCTTTCCATTTGTAAACAAAGTTCCCATTTCTCAGGGTGATTATCTCTATATTCCATATATACCAGGGGTCCTCAAACTACGGCCTCAGCCAGATGTGGCCCGTCTTGTCTTTTTATCTGGCCCACCGGGTGAACATTGGTAGTATAGTGCAGGGCTTTTCAGCTTGTGGTACACTGGCACCTGGCAGGTGGTACACGACCCTTCCTAGTCTAGATAAGTGTAGCAGGGGGAGGGAACGAGCTAAAGCGGTGCAGTGCAGGACTTGCCTTGAGAGAATCATCAGGAGTTGCAGGGCTGCTATGGCCACACAAAGGCCCCAGTATCAGCACTTCCGACAACCCGGAGAGAAAGATGGAGAAGGGCAGAGATGGGGAGGCTATAAAAGCAGGCAGTTTGGGCGGGAGAGGGAGAAAGAAAAAAGACACAGCCTTGGGAAGAGGAATCAGCTGGAGCTGCACCAAAGAGAAAGGATGGGGGAGAGAGCACAGGAGATAAAACAGATTGGCCGGTAGCCGATCTGTAACTTCATAGCAGCCATCTGTGCTGGGCACACACACAAATTGCAGCAAAAAACAGGAAAGAAACGCAGCTGGGGAGGAGTCACCCTCCACAAGGAATGAAGAAAGGCACCATCGGATGAAGGTGACCAGCAATTGGCCCTTGCCCACTTCACACACCCGGTTCTGTGGGCTCCAAGGGAGGGGACGCCACAAGCAGAGTGAGAGTCAGCATCTGCTGTGTAGCCCCCAACGTGCCTGGTTTTGGCAGGCAGCGCCGTGCTCTCTTCACAGCGCGGAGAGCTAGGTGAGGCAAAGTTAGCAAGAAGCTGAACCTACCTCAGCGCGCTCACAGAAGGCGGCAAGCAGTACAGGGCCTGGCAACCCGGGTGAAAGCAAGACGGTCACCTGGGATGCCAGGCCCTGTGCTGCTCATCGCCTCCTGTGAGTGCTTCAAGGCAGGTTCAGCTTCTCGCTAGCTTCGCCTTACCTGGCCCAGCTTCTCTGCACTGTGAGGAGAGCGGGGCGCTGCCTTCCAAAACTGGGCACGCTGGGGGCTGGGCGGCAGATGCCAACTCTCACTCTGCTCGCGGTGTCCCCTCCCCCAGACCCCACAGAGCCAGGTGTGAGAAGTGGGCAAGGGCCAATTGCTGGTCACCTCCAGCCAATGGTGCCTTTCTTCATTCCTCCTAGCGGGTGATACTTCCCCAGCTGCGTTTCTTGCCTGTTTTTCTCTCTCCCTCATCGCAAATATCTTTCTGCCATTCTGCTCTTAAGGCTGTGCGGCTCTTGTCCAGGAATTTACAGTGGCCTTTCAAGCCAAGGCCATTGGCAGTACGACCACCAGCTGCGTTGGCAACCTCTCCCCCTCCCCTTGACCCTTCTTGGGCATGGAGGGAGGAAGGAAGGAGATGGAATGAGAAAGAGGAAGGGAGGGAAGGAAGGAAGGAAGGAAGGAAGGAAGGAAGGAAGGAAGGAAGGAAGGAAGGAAGGAAGGAAGGAAGGAAGGGAGAGGGACTGACCCCCTGTTTAAAAAGTTTGAGGACCCCTGATATAGGCCATTCATGCATGGGAGAATGAAAATATGTTGGATTGATGGATAGACAATAGACAGACATGCAAACATATACCTGTGTATAGAGATAGTATTGTTAAATTCATTTTTTTATTTACTCAAGTATTTAAAAGTGGCTATTTCAATTTTTATAAGTGTCATGAAAACTCTTTAAACCTGAGCCAAAACAAGAGGTGACCACTGATGATAGATTTTAGCATTTCAGCCCCTGTGAAGCATCCTATTAATAATCAACATGCATGATAATGATGATGAAATGTAGGCTTGTAGATTTGGACAAACCCCATTAAATGAATGAACAAAGCAATTTGATGTAGAGTATTCTATCCATACAGGTGTGAATATACTTGCATGTTATGTAAATCCCAATTCATTCAAATCAGCACTAAGCACACAGAAATAAAGAGGAACTCAGACATATTTTAAAAATTAATAAGGACTTTTTCTTCTGCTGGACATTTAGATGATATCACAAAAAAGTTATGCTACATCAAGTCTGAAATAGTTTAGTTTAAACAGAAGCAGCTGGCTCTAAATAGTTTAGTTCCTTTTTTATTCCAAAAAAGTAAGGTAAATGGAATTTGCCAAAGTGGGTCAGTGGCAGGCTAACACAGCTTTTCTATACTTATGGATTTAAACACACATAAACTTACACATGCAGCAAATATGCAACATGTATTCATACATACATATAAACATAAACAAACATTATTGTTAAAAAACAATAATGGAGCTCAGAGAATTTAATTAATACTAGAGCATAATCAGTTGGTGTTAACACCAATACTGGTAGGCCACAGAAGAAAAAGAAACAACTGCTTTATAATCTGTTGGACCACAGTCAGTTCCTATGTCTTGCTAAAGTGAAATTGGTTTAAATTATTTAGTGGCAAACTGATAAAAATTGGGTTTCTGATTTTCCCTCACCACTTTTCAGCTACAGTACTTACCTTTCCTTTTTCACACACATTATGCTTTTCAGGGAACTCCCACACTTCTTACAATATAATCCTAATTTCCTTTAACTGGCTTTGGCTAGTCTGCATATAGTTCTACCTTGTAAGCCAGAGGGAGAGAAGGAAAGGAAATAGACTGAACAGGTGGAACTGAAGTATGGCCTGCCACCATCTTGTTTGCCACTACCTCCAGCTTTCAACAGTGGATGAGCAAAAAAGAAAAATCTCTATTTCATTGGGCAGTTATTTGCATGGCGCCCTTGACATACATCCCAAAACATAGACATCCCTCATTTAGAGGATTATTTGAACTGTGACAAACTACATTTACAACTTTTTAATGTTTAAAAGTGATAACAAAATATTAAACAGGACCAGGATCCAAAAAACTATGAAATGGATTCTTGATTAGACTCTCCCAGGGGGAAATAGCCTGCTATTTTGCGGGAAGTGATGCATATGTATGTTTTAAATGGGCAGGCTTTTGCAAAGAATTTTGAAGTAAACATGAAAAATAAGGGATTGTTTAAAAGTTAATCCTTTCAGTATACTAGACCCTTGTGTAAGCTAAAGCTGGTTTTTAGGTCCTGATCTGTCTTTACTGGGAAGTAAATTCCAATAGATTCAGTGAGCTGTACTCGTTAACTATGTATAGGCATAGTTAACATTATGATGTTACTTTCTCTGAAGTCAGAAAGATTATAATATTCTAAAATGAAAATTTTTATTTTTCTCTCAGTCACAGTACATAGATATAGGTTGTTGCTTCCATTCTAACAGATGCTGTAGATTCCTAAAATTATAGTGATACGTGAATTTCAGAAACGTAAACTATTTATACTGTGCACTAAGAAGTCAAAATATGCTGAATTTTTTTAAAATTGAGATTTATAAGATTATAAGGTTTTCACAATGTAAAATTTGGCAATATAAATTTCAAAAATGTAGTCAGTTTAGCAAAAACTGGCAATTTTTGCATACATTTAAGAAATAGATCATAAGTGCACTTATTTTTTAAGTGTCTTGTTTTACAATGTTTATGTTAACTATAATTGGGAGTTAACTGGAACAGAAGAGAGAATATGATGAAGAAAAGTTAGTTTGGAATTTAGTGGTGATCTTACACTTGGTTGCAACATAATAAATTTTGAAAATTCTAACCTAAGAATATATAAATACCTTTGAGATTAAGAATTAATGTTTCATTATTAATTCTTCAGCTAAACATTAAACTTGTTATTGATTCTAAATAATAATATAGGCATTTGAGGTATTGTTTAGCTTAATGAACTTTTCTATGAGGTAAGATTTTTTTCTTAACTTTCTGAGAAAATCTTATGACCTATCTAGCAAACAAAGGAAGTCTTGAGCATACTGTGTCTTACTTCATTACCAAATAAGTAGAGGAATAATAATTGAAAGGGAGTGAACTTAAATCATCTTAACGGACATTAGAACCCAGTTGAAACCATTCTAGCATAAAGTAGCAGAAGTGTGAAACTTCTAATGTTATGTGTACAGAAGAATGTCAGTCTTAAGATACTATTTACTGTACTTACCATTAAATCCAACATATTATACTACTACTATTCTGTAGTAGTAATTGCACCTTTTTCAATGGCTTGAGTATATTTATGAAAATGTAATGTAATCTTTCAACAAATATAGTCTTATTATAAAAAAAGAGGACAGTTATCACAAAGAATAAGCTTGTGGCCATGCAGAGTTATTCTTTAAATAACATGCATTAAAAATGAGAAAAAAGAGACTTAAGCACTGATTATATTTTTTGCACTAACATCTTATTTATTCTTCAAGGCATACGGCCTCTCATATTCAATATACTTTAACAGCTATGGACTTGAACATTCAGAATGGCGTTTTATAACTGGCTTTGATTCTAGCCATTCTTATTTAGTCACTTGTCATATGGATAACATGATTTTCATTACGGCTCCAAGGGCTCCTTAATAAAAGCATAGGGTCTTACTTAAAATGGCGTCTTCCAAGGAAATCTTGAACTTCAGCTTCAGAGAAGACTGGGACAAGTAATGGCTAGGCG